GAACATGCTGAACAACATCGTTTAAGTTTCCCTATTCCTTCTTTTAGATTCTCTTGTTCTAAAGTTAGAACAAACGGATCTCACGGGGCCAAATTAATGCCACACTCTCTCTGCCATTCCAGGCATTCCCTCAAAGAAAAGAACATATCGGCATAAATTACTTCATCCCATTTTCCTTCCCCTCGCAAAAACAACATTTACTGTAGTAAGATATTATAGTCTAATGATCCATGCTTTGACCACTTTGCTCCTTCCCCTAGTGTATACAGTGGCCACCATTTGGAACAGTATTTGGTTAGAGTTTTCTTGCTAGTGTTCCCACCCTGGGGTCCCCCTATTTCTTTCCAGTGTGTTATAATACACCCTAAAGGGCTTTTATCAACCTCTTGTTTTCCCTGCTTGTTTCCCATTTCTAGCTTTCGCTTTGCCTGCCTCTTGCTGCGCCCTTTGCAAGATAACAGAGACGCAAATTCAGGCTCCTACTTGCTCTGTGGTTTCAGTCACATACTTCTAGTACACACCACACACACCACACAGCACCAGTTTCAATTGTCTACAGGCTCAATTAGCCCTTAAAGCAGGAAGGCTTTGAACCAGTTCTGTCAGTTGTTTTAGTACTTCTTGTTCTATTAATTTGTTGTCTTGCAGGAATTCTCAGCCTGACATGGGAAAAAAATAAAAACTCCTTTCTAGGGTACTCCTACTGCCCCAAAATATCCATACTCCCCATAAACCACATCCACTGACACAGGGTAGCAATCTCCACAATTTGGACACTAACAAAGGAAAACCACCTCTATTCCTTTCGTCTTATTTCATATACAGATCTCGTTATGCCCTCTGGCACTGTATAAGAACAGTATCTAAATTCAACCACTCTATTGCTAAAGTTCTGTTTGTGCAATTTATAAATCTTTGCCAATGCGTTCTCCAACCTTGTAAGACCGTTCCACAAATACATGTGCTTTCGTCTTTTAGTTCTAAATCCCCCCATGCCAATCCTATCCCTATCCACAGGTTACCACGCTGAAATTGCCAACATTTAACGCAGATTACGAATATACGAGGTGAACAATTCTTACAAATTGAGCACAGATAAGGGTTAGCACTTGGGTTTGCTGTTAGCAGAGAGGCTGTCAGCCCTGGAGTTTATGGCATCTGCAAGTGGCCAGCAAACTTCTGGGCTTAATTCCTGCAAACAATAAGTGTTAGAGTCAGTTTCCTGCCCAATTAGTTTTGTAAACAAGGAAACCACTATCTCCCATAAACACATGAAGGTAGTCCTTTTGCTGTGGTTGGAAGTAAAACAGTAACAAACATAAAACAAATATAATTCCCAATATTTGGTTACTTAACACACAACAGTAATTTTATGACATAAAAGACAATACTCACAAACAAAGGCAAACAATATAATCAGCACACACAAGGGATCCCCACAGATGGTTTAAAACAAACCCAAAGATAATATATTACCAGACTTCTAATGATCACAATTCTGAGTCCAAGTCCAAAATCCAGCCACAAAGGTAAACCTAAAAACATTTGTCCCTTTCTTCCAAATCCTCTTAGCCCAAGGAATTTGGTATAGCTTTAGTGAGACTCTAACTCACAATCAAAGCCTATGCAACTTTCTAGTGGGACTCAAACCCACAATTAGAAAGATGCAGCTCTTGTTAGCTGCTAGCAAGCCAGAGCCCTAGAAAACCAGCGTATGACTTATGGTTTCCTTCCCAAAACCCTAGGGAAAAATAAAAGAGTGCTTTAGAATTTGTATATCTTTGCACAGGATCTTTGTCCACTCCCATGATGATCCAGCAGAGCCCGGGGAGCCTCACCGGAGTACCGTGCCAGGGCGTGCAGAGGGTCCCTGATTCCAGAGGGTCTTCACAGACAAGCGGAGGTCTTCTCCTGGCTGGCTCGCCAAATTGATTCAAAGAAATCCTTAAACAATATATATAAAGCACACTTTTTTTACGGCCGGGGGAGATGCAGGGGGTTTCGCCCCCCCGTGCATGTCCACTGAGAAAAGAAACACAACAGCATTTTATACAGTGAGTTTTAAAAATTATCTATCATATACACTCTTTACGAAGTCTGCCTTATCTAAATAGACATTTGGTTGCCTAACTCCTATTCTTATTATTATAGAGTAGTTACATAAAGTTTTATCATTTCAAACAGCTTAGGTTTCCCCCACCCCTCTTGTCTCCCTTGCAATGCTATGTGCTAAAAGTCTTTCCTGCTTTCCCTGAGAGTCCCTTTTGTTTATGTAAGCTAACTTTATCTTAATTGCCCACCATTTGGGCAGCAACCTTCTTTCAATCAGTTACAATTTTGCAAAGTCACACTAACATAGCTAAATTTTTATTTTATTTTGTCTTGTCTTTATTTCACTAACACCTCTGAATTTATTTTTTTGTTTTGTAATAATTTTTATCTTCAAAAGTCTCAGAGCAAACAGTGCTGTGAATAAAACACTCAGTACTCTCTCCTGTGTCTAGTCAGAACCTGTGAGTTTAAGGTGTGATGAGATCAAACAGCAGGTAGGTTTTTTTATCAATTTGGGTTTTTTTTTCTAAAGGGATGGTTTGTTCTTGCCCTCCCTTCCCTCCTTCCTGCCAACTCTGGCAGAAAATTTCACTTATTTTCTCATTTTGTTTTCTGTTGGCTTATTGAAATGAATCTACCCATGAAAGAATAAACCAGTTCTGGTGCAAAGGAGGGAACATGACTGTGCAGTCACAATTAGGGTGATAAAAGACTAGGGGAATAAAGCCCATCCCTGTTGGTGGCAGTGAGAGAGGCTAGGCTGTCTCTGCTAATCTGACCTTCAAAATCCTTCTGGATTTCTTCAGTGAAGTGCAGGTTTTATAGTGTACAAATCATATGCTTTTACAAATGAGTCCACTATTTTAAAATATTTCCCAGACAATGGAACAGTTAGATGTTTAATGGCTTCTGCATACTGATGTGTTCTATGTGTGCCTGGAAAATAAAATAATTTCTGTTAAAAAAATCTAGCACAGAAGTTTTTACAGAATTGCCTTTTCAAATCAGTCCAGTATCTACGCATCAGTAAAAGCAGAATGACATTTCTAAGAAATGTCTAATTAAGTATCTGTCTGTGTCTGTAAGCATCACAACTTATTTTTCAGTGCTGTGTTCTCATTTAAGTAAAAAACTGGTCTTTATCATCACCTTGAGATTACCTTTTCTAGTACTGTTACTAGAAAAGTGAGTGGCAAGAAAGGAATGTGAATTTTTCAGTATACTCTCTTCCTCTCTCTGATCTATAAATGTCTCAAGTAAAACTAATAAGTACATTTTTTTTTTCTTTGAGATAAGGCTTTTCTTGGCATAGATATTTTCCCCCAAACTGTGTTGTTCCCTGCATCAAAGTCTGCTTGAGTCACGGTAGACTTTTTTCCACTGAGATAAAGACAAAGTTCTATTTTATACACATACTAATACTCAAATTTTTGACATCTACATAGCCAGTTCAAGGGGCCTGGAGAGTACAAACCTCACTAGAGCAAGTATTTTTTCCACGCACACAGAAACATACATCAATGTTGACCAGATATAGTGTTGTGAAATTACTAGTCCCTGTGCTACCATCTCACTGAAAATTGATTGCTGTATGAGGGATCAAACCAGCATAGTTTGAGTAGTTGAAGATCCTACTTAATAATAAAAAAATCTTATAAAAACATTGTTAGCAAAGTGGCAATGTGTAGATGAAACATTTTTCCTGGCTGATAGGCCAGAGAGATGGAAAGGCAAGTACAGGTATTCTTATAGTCCCTTTGGGAGCTGCAATGTAGATGATATTTCCAAGTAGGACATTTGTGAAAAAAAGAGTCTCTAGTTCACTTTGGCTGCCCTTTAGCTTCTTGTTAAGCTCTGTTCTTTGCTGTCTGGGCTAAAAGTGACAGTATTTCCCCTATGTCACGATGGTACTGTAAGTTTTGCAAATTGCCATTAAAACTTTGTAATATAATTTATAAGGTTGAGGTCCTGTTCATCTAAAAGTAGATTTCTCATACATATGGAAACTGAACTATATTCTAGTCTGTCCAGGTGAATGACTACCAAGTCTAGGAATTTCAGGCTGGCATTGTTCATAAGGACTAAAATTCTGCATTAAAGTATATTTAAAGTTCTAGGTAAAGAAGTTTAGCATATGTTGCTTATAATATATTAAATTTTATAACGTAAGACTTTAGAAATATTTTTATTTTCTGATCTGTTTTGATTCACCTCACTATAATAATCAAATTTAATGTGACTCCAGTACCATCTTTAATGAGTATGTAAAAGGAATAATAGTTTGGTGTAACACAATGACTTCACTAGAAAAAAGAAAATGAAAAAAACCAATACCATACTCTCCTATGAAGACAGGCTGAGAGAGTTGGAGCTGTTCAGCCTGGAGAAGAGAAGGCTCTGGGGAGATCTTAGAGCACCTTCCAGTACCTAAAGGGGCTACAAGAGAGCTGGAGAGGGACTTTTCACACGGGCATGGAGGGATAGGACAAGGGCAAATGGCTTCAAACTGACAGAGGGCAGAGTTAGATTAGCTATTAGGAAGAAATTCTTTCCTGTGAGGGTGGTGAGGCACTGGAACAGGTCGCCCAAGGAAGTTGTGTATGTCCCATCCCTGGCAGTGTACAAGGCCAGGTTGGATGGTGCTTTGAGCAACCTGGTCTAGTGGAAGGTGTCCCTGCCCATGGAAGGGGGCTTGGAACGAGATGACCTTTAAGGTCCCTTCCATCCCAAAGCATTCTAGGATTCTATGAACCATACTGTCTGTAACTGAAAGCAATGAGTTGTTTAGGTAATACTGTGAAGAGCAGGACTGAGTTATTTGGGTAAATTATTCTTACTCTTCTGTTCTTGTGCAGGCTGCTGTATTGCTGAAGACCATATCTAGTTCACCCAGTCTTCCAGATCATGTGCTCCATGCTTTGAGACCAGGAGGACCTTGGTGTTTTGAAATGAAGATGGAGGCAGAACTTATTGATTCAGAACTTCCACCAAAGACTTCTGAAAAGCAAGAGACTGCTCCTGATGAATGTGGATCTATAGAACTTGAGACACAAACTCAGAAAGACAACGTGCACACTGCAGCAGACTCTGTGGTGCTCTCTTCAATGCCTTGCTTACTGATGGAACTGAGGCAAGACTCTTCAGAGTCTCAGCTGGCATCTGCAGAGAGTGATAAGCCAATGGGTGGTCGAGTTTATGAGAGTGACTCTTCTAATCATTGCATGCTTTCCCCTTCTTCCAGTGGGCATTTGGCTGACTCTGATACATTGTCTTCCACAGAAGAGAATGAGCCTTGTCAAGCTCAAGCTGCTGTAGGGGGAGACCTTTCTGCAGTGTCTGGTGCTGCAGTTGGGAGGAAATCCAGGAGATCCAGGTCTGAAAGTGAAACTTCAACAATGACTGCCAAGAAAAACAGACGGTCTAGTGATAAGCAGAATGGTCGAGTTACCAAAGCAAAGGGTCATCGAAGCCAAAAGCACAAAGAAAGAATCCGGCTCTTGAGACAGAAACGGGAGGCAGCTGCTCGCAAGAAGTACAACCTGCTGCAGGACAGCAGTACCAGTGATAGTGACCTGACGTGTGACTCGAGCACGGGTTCATCGGATGATGATGAAGTTTCAAGGAGCAGCAAGACAATCACTGCAGAGATACCAGGTAGAGGATGTTTTTTAAACTGAACTGTAACACATCTGACGTTTCTCAGCTGTCATGCTAAATTAGATGAGTGACACTTGAGAAAAAACAGGAGAACTGCAGCTCTGTGTAAATTTGAAGACTGCAGTGTATTAACAAGACATGGGCAAATTTTAAAATCTGTTCTGAGGTTTCAGTTCACTTTTGCACACCAACAAAGCATAGAAATGGTAAATTGGAGGAAGGACTATCTTTGAATCCTGGAATTTTCAGATCTTTTTCTTTGTAAGCCTATATGAGTTCCTATCAGTGCTGTCAAATCCCATTAGATGGTGATAATCTAATAAATACATTCTTAAGATAAATGGCCAACTTTACTTTAATGTCTTAAGACCACAGCTTGGCAGCTGTGTTAGAAATAACATGGCATACCTCTTGCCTGTGTTACAGTAAGGCCCTGTTCATTATTGCACTTATACTGTGCTTTCAGCTCTACATTTCAGTGCGTGACAAAGCTTATTGTAAGTTCTTGCAGATTGCAGCTGGTCACATATTTTAGGATATAAATATGAATTTGTTTACACAAGTGCCCAAGCTATATCCACACCTAAATTTTCAACATCTTAGACAAAGCTGTTACCATTTTCCTATGTCACAAGTACCTATAATTTCTATGTTTTTAATTTTCTGACACATCTGTTTTAAGATTTAGGCAGAAAATTATAGGGGCCTTCTCATCATTTTATTAGCAAAAGAAAGATTAATTCTTCAAGATTTTTGTCTGCTGAGTCTTTGTTATTTTATTAGCCCAAGTGCCGTGGACAAGATTTCGTGTGAAGAATTATTGCAGCATATTATACCATAGAACCATCATCATATCATCATATGGCAATCAAAAATAAAATCACATAAAAATAAACTTTTTGGCTTGCCAATTTTTACTGGGTTACATGTCTTTTTTCCTCTTGTGTTAGAAGTTTGGGGTTTTTTGGAGATAAATATCAGCTTCCATAGGGCAAGAACATTGAAAGGAAAACTGCAATAATTAATCTTAAGTTGCTGAACTAATGTTTGCTAGATGGATTAAAATATTTGCAGCAGATTTTACAAGTAACTGTTTTAACTGATTTGGTTATGGTGAATGATTCTGTCACCATGAGAACTGGCATTTTTCCCACATATTGCTAGGAAGTAGGTTGCACAAAGTGTAAATGTTTATTATTAGAAAGTCTGTGAAAAGCATAGTCTCTTTTAATTATTGTGTAGTAAACTTTTAATAGAGACCTAAAAGTATTTTACCAATTTAGTAGTTAGTCAGACTTCTAGCTTTCATAGTTTTGTGCCTTTTTATTTACTATATTTACACTTTGCTGGGCAATTAAAGTTGAATTTAAAGCCTGTCGAAGACTATTTCATTGAGTTTTGGGATAGGTTTCTCCCCACCTCCCAAACCCTCCCAAACTTACACAATAAATCCCCCAGGTTATATTCTTTTTTTGAGTCATAAAAGGATCTTGTGACCCAGAAAGGCACCACGTGGTATTTTCAGATCTGCTTAGATTTCTGACTTCCATTGCAGAGACCTGAAACCACTCTAGGGTACTTTGTGTCACTAGGCTCTTTTGTATTTGAGCTCTTGGTCTTAACCATGAGATGCTTGCAGTGAAGAGGTCCTATTGTAGTGCACAGAAGAACTTGATTATTCAGTGATGATTACACTAAGGCCCAATTTTGCCTGTGATGCAAGATGTGGGAGTGCACAAACCATGCTGAGGAACAATGACATTTATTCTTATTTCATAGCATGTATCATCTGCTTGATGCTAAATTCCATTTATGACATTAAAACGTTTGAGCTGTCCTTTTGCTGCAATTAGGTGCAATGTGTACCTGCCATATTGCGGTTTTCCTTTAGATAGAAACGACTTTGGTTTGTGGGAAATGGTTTCCAAGTACAAGAGAAAAACATTCTCTATAGAGATAAGGACAAGGTTGGCTAAAAACGCATCCTATGCTACTTGTGGGTTAATGAAATGTTGTGGTCTTAACAGATGCAGTGGAGCTGTGAGTCTGAGTAGGACTCCCAGCTCTCTGTTGCAGTGGTAAGTTCACATGCCATCTGCGATCCCTCTTCTTGGAACTGGCAAAGTACTTAAATTCTTTTTTTGACTAGAAAGCCATTTTAGTGCACTTGGCATTACATTGTGAATATTCTCAAAATTTAGGGAATGAACGTGTAGTTAGAAATTATTACAAGGTATCAAAAAGCATTACTGGAAATTCAGTGCATGAATGTCCTCTGCACACAGTCAAAAGCTAAGAGGTTTAACTTGATGCTTGAACTTGAGTATCAGGACATAAGCATGAAAAAACTTTTGCCTTTACTTTTGAAAAAGTCTGTACATATTGATGCAGAAGAGTCTTACAGGTAGCATGTTCCCCTTAGTCTTACTGTATTTGGACACTTCAGCTGTAGTGTTGGTTACTGTCTCAACATTGCTTATTATTGGGACTGATTTTCAACCAGTCTGAAAAATAGCTTTGTCAACAGAGATGCTCTAAAATTTTTTGTGACAGTTAATGTGGCCTTCACGTACAAAGGTTATACATACTCTGGCTCATAACCTTCTATCAATGCATGTAGTGTAACAGCCAACAGTTTGCTTGTGTGTGGTCTGAAAATTGAAGTGCCACATTTAAGAATACAGTAGCCTTCCATTTAAATAATGCAGAGTTTTGTTGGTTTTTTTTAAACCATCCACATCACTGGCTCTGAAATATGTTTGGCTAAATTGGTAAAGAAAATGTTCAGTGAATACATAATAATGCCATGAAGTTACAAACAGAGCGATTGTGCAATAGAGAGTCAGTTCTCTCTGCTGAACTCAAACATCATATGCATTAAAATACTGGCAGGCTTGGTTTTCTTCTCAAGAAAGATTTGGGAGTAAAGAGTTGAGATCTTACTCGTGATACTTTGATACAAGTATTGTGAGCTCCATAGGAGCTAAGCAAATTATGAGTTATGTTATTCTGAATGCTTTCTGTGGTGTTAATTTACACCTGAAAATACAGGTTCGATCTAAACTTCATGGGTGCTACTGAGAATCTCCTCACTGACCTGAGCAGTCATAATCCTGGGCTCTTTAATTCAAGGGAATGCCAGGATTTTTGAGTTACTGCAGATGAAGAACAATTTCTTATCTTTTAATGACTGAGCCTCTCTGTTGGCTTTTAAGGTTTTGCCATTCTTAAACACTAGATAGCATTCATGGCCTAAGAGGCTGATCTTTGAGTCCTGTAATAGGTTCTGCTAGATCTACTGTTGGTGAAAGTTTTTCCTTTAAACAATTTCAAATTTGACCATGCAAATTAACTCTGAATGAAATTGGCATGAGAGCAAGTCTGGGAATCAATATTTATTTCTGTGTAAACACTTTTTTTGAAAGAAGGAATGGGTTTTTAAAAATTCAAATATAATAGAAAAATATTGGCATTTCACCATTATTGTGCTTTCTACAACTCAGAAAAATCTGAATTGAAATAAGGGTGACTCATGTTTTAGGCTTTCAGAAGAATCTGTTGAAAAGTTTGAGTTTTAATGTTGAAAAGGTGTTGCAGCTCACTTTGTTAAAAAAAGGAAAAAATGATGTTTTTTAATATGCAGAAATCCAAAGGGGGGAGTACAGTATGTATGAGGGACTCTCAACCAGGTTACTTCCTCCTAAGAACTGTGCATAGACCTTGGAAAAAGCATCTTGCAAGGGTGTGGTGGGTTGACCTTGGCTGGACACCAGGTGCCCACTGAGCTGCTCTACAACTCCCCTTCCCAGCTGGGACAGGGGAGAGAGAATAAGATGGAAAACAACTCATAGATTGAGATAAGGCAGTTTACTAAAGCAAAAGTTTGCATGCACACAAGCATGCATGTGGCCAGTCTTCGCGAACGAAGATTTGGGGAAAGGTCTTTTTACCTTTCCAGCCTGCGCAATGGATTTTTTAGGTGAGACACAGCATGCGCTGAACTGAGCCCACCCTTTAATCCTAAGGTTCATCTGCCGGGGCCAAGCAAGCTTGGACAATGGCAGTGAGGTCCTCAGGACGTAGGTTTGTTTAGAGTGACCTTCTCATAGATGGATGGCCTTACAGGGCTAACGGGCTCCATCTGCCCGGGGGACTGGCTGGGATTTGAACCTGGGTCGCAGAGGTGAGAGTCCTGCATGCTAACCACTAGGCCACCAGGGGTCCCCATGCACACAAGCAAAGAGAAAAAAAAAGGTTTATTCTCTACTTCCCATCAGTAAGCTATGTTCAGCCACTTCCCAGGAAGCAGGGCTTCAGCATGCGTAGCAGTTGCTCTGGAAGTATGTATGGCCAGTCTTCGTGAACGAAGATTTGGGAAAGGTCTTTTACCTTTCCAGCCTGCGCAATGGATTTTTTAGGTGAGACACAGCATGCGCTGAACTGAGCCCACCCTTTAATCCTAAGGTTCATCTGCCGAGGCCAAGCAAGCTTGGACAATGGCAGTGAGGTCCTCAGGACGTAAGTTTGTTTAGAGTGACCTTCTCTTAGATGGATGCCCTTACAGGGCTTGACGAGCTCCATCTGCCCGGGGGAATTCCCTGACCGGGGATCGAACCCGGGCCTCGGCGGTGAGAGCGCCGCATCCTAACCACTAGACCACCAGGGGGCCCCTGCTCTGGAAGGCAAACATCCTAAATAACAAATGCCCCCTCTTCCTCCTCTTTTCCTTAGCTTTTATCATCATATGGTATGGAATATCCCTTTGGTTAGTTTGGGTCAGCTGACCTGGTTGTGTCCCCTTCCAGGATCTTGCCCACTCCCAACCTAATGATGGGGGGGGAATGTTGAGAGACAGTACTGATGCTGTGCTCAGCAGTAGCCAAAAACAGTGGTGTGTTATCAACCCCTTTCTAGCTACCAATGCAAAGCACAGCACTGTGAGGGCTGCTATGGGGAAATGAACTCCATCTCAGCCACGCTCCATACAAAGGGATGAA